TTTAAAGGAAAAAATCATCAGTTTCATTTGTTTAATTTAATTAAGTACAGGGTGAGAAATAATAAATTGGTCATAAATAAGTTCATTTTTGTTTAGTAATAATAACATGTAAATGGAAAATGTGCCAATTGCAATTGTGAATAGAGTATTGAGACGAGTGTTATCTTTCGTGTGGATGTATCTTTGGAGTTATACCACTGACACAATGATTCATTGCACTTATACTGTCCTCTTACTATGGTGTCATTGACGCAACAAAAACTGATTTAAGAACGGTAAATTCATGGAGGGTTTAACGATTTAGACGCGACTCTCTGACTAATTAAAAAGTGACACTTTCCATTTAAGCTTACCTGCTTGCATTACATGCATTAAATCTAATCATTCTATGAGGCTCACCTTAACAATTCATGACGCCTGTATCTCTATACTTATAATCAGCATGATATATCTCGGCTTTATTTTATTAATACCATATACATGTAAATCCATATTGATGAAATCAATAACTGTTGCATTGTTGGGCGTGAAAGTCAACTATCAGTAATCATTGAGTTTGATGTGATTTATGATACGATTCTATTTTATGATAGATATATCTCAGGATTAGTATTATCTCAACCTCGAGCGAGTGAGATTTTTTTTTATTAAAAACAACTTTCCAATTAGCCTATTTATGATACATATTGATGAGGATAACAAGTTGCTACTGCTTTAGAAACAATCGTATTGGAATAACTGAAGCATGGTTGGAATGTAATTTATCAACGCATAGATACAGCTTAACCAGGAATCTTATAAATTAAAATTATCCATTGATAATATGTTAAATGAATTGAAGAATACATCAATGTGTACACGATGTTATAACCTATGAAGCAATTCCAATATCCAGATTCTGCTTGTGCGGCTAGCTGCAATAATACCTTATATTCATATCTCTATCTGTGTAATACACAATTGTACATCATCATAGGTTTAGAAACCAGCATCAGTAGCAATGAGATTATCAACGACATTATCAAGCACGGCTTATAGAAAAGTACAATGACAACGCCAAGTATTTCCCCAAGCGCAGAATCATAATGAGTATTGTAAGCAGCGGATGGTTCCTGGTTTAAGATAATGACTGTTATAAAATGTAGGCATGATCATTGTTTGGAACAGAGTTACACACGCTAATATATGCTATTCCGAGGTAGCGTAAGTGCTCAGAAGGATATCAGGTATGACGTGCTTTTTATATCTCATTTATTAGTAGAAAAGTAGTTTTCGTACAATGTTCTATATTATTAGGGTACAAATACGGAACATGGTTATTCAAACTCAAATAGAATAAAGCTTACCAATAAAATACGGAACATGTTGAAGTGAGGGATAAATCTTATCAACAAAATCTGGATTTAATATTTATGAGCAAAAAGATAGTATATCAAATACTACTACGATGTTCAAAGATAATGTAAGTTACGTTTTATTCTAGGCAATAATATGCTGAATCGTATGCGGCATCTAAATGTATCACTGTCTGCATTGTATAATATGATACTGTTGCAAATACAAATATCATATGATACAAGCTTGATATCATCTGGAGAAAGTAAATACTAAAATAAATTGATTTTTTCAAACCAAATACTGAATAATTCACTGGAAGGAAAGCAGATATGCATAAATAATATTTTGTTAGTCATTTCATCGATAAAAACAACAGTAATCATTAAACGAATTGAAATTACCCAAACCAAATAAATCATAACAAGAAAGCATATATATAAGGGTAATGTACTGGGAGGTTTCGGATATGGGGTTTATCCAGAGGGAGATATGCATATCTACCCGAGGGACCGTAGGGACCGAAGGTAGATGTGCATATCTCACGAGGGATGAACCCAATATCCAAACCGACCGTACATAACTGCTTTATCCTATACCAAGTAGAGTTTTCAGGGGCATATGGCCATTTCAATAGTACAAGGTGTAAGAATAAACAAATCATTCATATGCAAAGTCATTTAATTGCATTACCGGAAGCGGGAAGATATGCATCGGAAGCGGCAAGATATGCACCTAAGCGGGAGATATGGCGGGAGATATAGAGGTTCTGGATATGGAAACCTCAAAATCAGGATACGGGATATATCTTACCAACTTATCTCCCTAAAACTCTACTTGGCATAGGATAATAAATCAAACGTCAACTACCGTCTACTTACGTCTACTTACCCCAGACATATCAAAATAAATACTCAGCAATCCAAACTAATGACAAGGGCATATAGAACAATCCGTGTGATACTGTTATCAGAGAAAGATGCAATCATAGTAACCAGCTCAGGGGCTGAACACCTACACCTATGGTAACAAAAAGAGTTGGGTGAGATTTGTTGTAATTGTCTGTTTTGCCACCAAGGACTTGTTAACATGAGCCCCAAATCATAGATGAAACCCTGTGTAAACTGTAACATCTGTATATACACCCCAGGTTTGCAGATAATTCCGCTATGATAAGATATTATTATGTATTGGCAATTAATGCTTAATGGAAGGGGTCCATAAGGAAATGGAAAGGTCATTTATGTAGGTGGGGTATGTAACCTTACAGATCTAATATTAATCAACGATCATTTTGTCTTTATTGATAGAATAACACCAATAGGAAAAAAAGATTACCGATAACTGTTTATTACTTAAATATTAATGTACTTATTATTCCCTTAGTGTATCAAGTCTAAAAGTCTTCCAAATCTAAAATTCACATAATAAGATAAATATAAAATAAAAAGTCATTGGTAAAAACATATATTAAACATCCATCCGCTGCCACTATTGTACCAAATCGAATCACATCCAATATTGGCTTCTGATGTAGCAGTTACCTTTGCATCTTCATATATACCAGAGCATTGGGTCAGGTATATTGTTAAAATATGTAAACACCATTTAAAGATGTGTGGCCTAGTGTGCTGAAGTATTATGGGCGAGTTATCCACGGTCACTTTCCATTGCAGGATAGTTAGGCAAACAATCATCAATCTCGGGTATTTCTTAAATTAATCAATCAGACAATAACGTTTTATCATGATTACCCTGGTAGGATAAAGCACCCGCCACTCACCGTTACGGAAAACTGATTTCAAAGATGCATATACAATTCTATAAGGATGTCGTCTAGATATACATACATGAAATAAGTGTATGAATAGTGTAGGTACACTGAGCGAAAATTTCAGCCAGGTTGACTGAGAAACAAAATTTCTCAGTCAATTTTTGTTCTTTTGCCTCAAACTTAATGAACGCCATGTAAGCCACTCAATGTGAATGACTGGACTTATAATTTCGCTCATGCTCATATATCTACTTTTTATATGCTAGGTCAGTTGCTTCATGCATTTTTAAATTATTTATCAATCACAATTTAAACATATTGCTTTTGTATACAAAAGTTTATGAAGGACGATATGTACGTTTTCTTCGTGTCATCATATTGTATCGATTTTCTTGAAAATATTTCCTACGAGTTTCATGTTTATAAGAATTACACGATTACGTGTTGACTATTTAAATTTGAGTGATTGTGGAATTATGATTCACGTGTTCCACTTAACTAATGATATAAGATTAAAAAGTGCATGCTTCATAAGCATTAGTATATTTCTTGTATTAGTATCTACTATTTCAGAACATGGCATGCAGCAAAAGTTCTGTTTCAATAATTCTTCTTTAATAGCTTTTATTATGTCATGGCGTACTGTAGTCGTGTAACTATACTCGTATACACGTGTAGGATGATTTATACTTAGATCTCCATTTGTGATTTGAGCTACTGATCCTTAGACAGACAACTGAATATCTAAAATATTGATGAGACAATTATTTTTGTAATTCAATTCTTGAACGAAATGACTGTAAAATCAATTGAAAATAAGGCTGCAATCTCATGCTTGGAGTAGTAAATCCTTGGACTACTGTAACATCTCAGCAAATGTTATCACACGTCTTTGTGATCCTGAAACAACACATTTATTACCTTTCACATTTTTATTGTTATGCATCTGTTATTGTAAAAGAGACCTTTAACCATAATTTCAATTTAAACTTTAAATGTTATGTACGATATCATACTTAACACATTCCAATGTACTGTTCTTAAATATATCATAAATCATTGTAAATACCATTATGTGGCACCAACATGATACTCCCTCTTGGGGCCATAGCCGCTATAACACTGGTGATCCACTCGATTACGCTGGTTATTGAAACGGTTCGTTTTGGTAACAAAATGTCGGAACATCGAAGGTACAATTTTTCTTTTGCCTTATTTCACACGTTGTAGGCAGAATTCCCACGACATTTTTAACACAAACGTGTATTGGTATCATGTTTAAGAAAATGTACATATTTGCGAACAAATAGTTCAGAAGACAACAGAATCGTCGATTTAATTCCTCATTCAAGTTACATAAACGGTTTTCGAAAAACGGTTAAGATCTACACTTTTAACCCAAACCGTTTATGTAACTTAAGTGAGGAATTAAATCGACGATTCTGTTGTCTTCTGAGCTATTTTTTCGCAAACATGTACATTTTCTAAACCATATGATGCTGATACACGTTTGTGAGAAAAATGTCGTGGGGATTCTGCCTACAACGCGTGAAATAAGGAAAAAAGAAAAATCGTACCTTCGACGTTCCGACATTTTGTTACCAAAACGAACCGTTTCGGTAACCAGCGTAATCGAGCGGATCACCAGTGTATAAACTAAAAATATATTACATTGATTTTAATAATAAATAAATAAAGAAATAAGAAAACAAATAAATAAATGGAATTGTGATTTTTTATTTTGTTATTACTGGTGTTTCAGCTGTATAGACGTGAGTTCGTATGTTGGACCGTTGGTCTACATTTTTATGTTTTAATACTATAAGCTAATACTATAATGTATCTACATATTTATCAATTCTAATACGAAAAAATTATCTATGTGTTACAGGTCGGATTACCACAGCCCCTAATCAATGATGTAACTGTTTGACTCAAATCACTGATGATGGAAAAGGGCGAGTTGAAACATCAAGGCCTATCTGTCGTAACGTTTTGCTACACATTGGCTATGATTGCTGCTGGAAGTAAGTTGTCGTCAACCATGACCCTAAATTCTATATAAATTGCTATCACAATAAAATATAAAATATAAACAGTAACACTGTTGTGTGACATAGTGTCATTATATAATGATGTATTAGTTATGTATCATTGAGTAAAAATAGTCGACCAGTTAACTGCATAAATTATAAACTTACGATTATCTCAAAATTCAAGTAAATGGTGTAAATATATGCATGAGTTTGCATCTAAATGGTTAATTGATATGGTAGGCGAAAGTAAGACAATGATGTTTAAGAGTGGGCAGAGGTGAAAATATCTATAAATAAGAAATATATATGAAAAGGGAGAACTATGTTGTAGAAACAACATTAAGTCTACTTGTTTGAAAAATGTTGAGTTCACCATATGTAAAAGCATTTTTCAATTACTTTCTATTGTGTCAGCTGAAAAACCAAAAATGGTGCAATCCCAAAGTTTCTACACGATTACCCAAGATAAATAGATTACGTTAATTAAATATCATGGTATTGAGAAGTCTTAATTGGATTTTGCTAGATTGAGACACCAAAAGCAGCCCCCTCAGACTGTTAAAACGATTATAGATGTTACTGTCACTTCCCTATTAAGACAATTAGTACAAATTGACTTACCGAGTCCCTAGTGCAATATGGGTTATGTAACTTGTGAATCTGATTCATTATTAATTTTCACTCTAGAGCTGATGCTAAGGAATACGTTTTAAAATGTCCAAAAAAACATGGACTGAGTTGGTGATTCGTAGTGTATATGTAAATAATACTAAAATTCTTGTCCATACATACTAACACATGCATAATGCTGATAAAGATGAGTGAATGGTAGGTGTAACACAATAAACTTTATTTCAGTACATTTTAACTCTATTCCCGTGCCTCAGCTCTTAAGTATAATGAAAGTCATTTAGATGCTATTGATGACACTCGTGATTACACATGAGATCGTCGACTTTGAGACACATTGTTCAGTTAACACAAGCTTAATCCAGAGCCTTCTAATTCTAATGATATGCATCCTCCGAACGCAGGGCCCCAGACATCATCCTATACGTTCCTGTTTGGTACGATGTATGAGCTCCAGGGGCCTGTGTTTGGAGGATGAACGGTTAACACAAGCTTAATTCAGAGCCTTCTAATTCTAATGATATGCATCCTCCGAACGCAGGGCCCAAGACATCATTCTATACGTTCCTGTTTGGTACGATGTATGAGCTCCAGGGGCCTGTGTTTGGAGGATGAACGGTTAACACAAGCTTAATTCAGAGCCTTCTAATTCTAATGATATGCATGCTCCGAACGCAGGGCCCAAGACATCATTCTATACGTTCCTGTTTGGTACGATGTATGAGCTCCAGAGGCCTGTGTTTGGAGGATGAACGGTTAACACAAGCTTAATTCAGAGCCTTCTAATTCTAATGATATGCATCCTCCGAACACAGGGCCCCAGACATCATCCTATACGTTCCTGTTTGGTACGATGTATGAGCTCCAGGGGCCTGTGTTTGGAGGATGAACGGTTAACACAAGCTTAATTCACAGCCTTCTAATTCTAATGATATGCATCCTCCGAACACAGGGCCCCAGACATCATCCTATACATTCCTGTTTGGTACGATGTATGAGTTCCAGGGGCCTGTGTTTGGAGGATGAACGGTATGTTGAAAGGTAAAGTCATTAATGTTCTATTTCCAGTCTATATTACTGGACGTATATAGAAAATGCAATTTTAGCGTAATAAGTACTAACATTTTTTTAGATTGATTGAGTTTCTTCCCTCCATAGGTTTCCCTGGATAACATTTGGACTATAAGTCGAAATGACAAATGCAATTTCAGTAATTACATTATTTGTTTAAACTTTGTTTTTCAAAAGAGACTACTTGACAAAGCCATTACAAACTAATATCTTGTTCCATTTCAGTAACCCTGTGAACAATAGCGTTGAAATGGTTCATTTACTACATAGCTTAAACAAACCTAGACGAGCATGCTCAACTAAAAGCATTGCATGCATCATCGATCCTAAAATTACTGATTTGTCCATTTCAATAAAATAGATGATAAATCAGAATGAATATAACCGCAAATATTGCTTTGGGTATCAAAAGGTTCTTCAAATGAAAGGAAGTGCGCTTTCTTACCATGTATATTAGCATTGCGCCCATTAAACGAAAATATACTCTTCTTCATCATTATATTAAACTTCTATTCTCCACTTGACTTTGTTTCACATATGTATGCTTTCCACTGATATGGTACTCGTTGAATTAAAACCAGGGTTTTGCATGGGCAGGCTATACGTTAGCAAGTCCAAACAAGTTAACATACGCCTGGACATGCAGGGATTGGACCAATATTTGATGTTTTGTTTATATATGCAGATGAATAAAGAAATCCGAATGGAAACATTTAGCAATACATTGTCAATAACGCGCAAGAACCGTCAACAATTCAACAATATCATAGAGAGTGAAATACTACCCACCATTCTTTAAAATATTAAAATATCACAATTCAGTCATTTACTTGGGTTCTTTGAATATTAATGTAATATTATTGAATTGGAATCAGCAACTATACATAAGTGACCTTTTATATCATTAGTTGCAATCAAACGCATCAAACTCAGACACTGTACTTAAATTAATTTCTCCTCTCTTTGGTCATGGAATGTATATTCGTTTATTTGTATTTAGTTACATGTATTTCCTAGTTTGCGAATATTCAAGCGTTGTATTCATACTTTGTGAAATTAGTTCCTCGTCAACTCTGATGGATTATAAGTGCTCGATTAATTTAATAAACGTGGATGAAGTTACTGTATATCCAACGCATATGACTTGAAAGTTCCAAGAGTGTACAATTAATACCACAGGGAGCATCATTTTACCCACACATTTATTCCCAAAACTCAGAATCTGAGATGATTAGGTCATTCAATGCGAAATTAGGTCTCTGTGGCATAATAATTCGTCTGACAAACTGGTATTGGTGGTTTTAATTTCCACAAAAATGCTATGTTTAAAGAAGACAACGACTTCACTTATTACAAAGAACAGGCGAATCAATATCAATAACAATCATGTTTTCTTTAATACAATAGGCTTATCCTTATTCCCTTCAGGTGTCCCTGATCACAGAGGGACCCACTTTGTGATCGGTTTCATGGACTCCTCCAGTACCATTCCGCTGAAACTAACCCTCATGCCTCGGACAACATCGACAGTCAGTGTTAACATAACAACACCATTGATGACCCCAGTGTTTAGCCGCCAGATAGAGCTAACAGGTGGTAACGCAACTGCAATTGAGATACCAGGAAATGTGAACCTAAGAATGAACGCCAATTCTATAGAAAATAAAGGTAAATGAGTTGATATAAATGCCGCACAAATTATACACAATCACATGTAACTGTTTTATTATTCTAAGGTGTTTTTGTGTACCTCGTTGCTACATGTTCTTCCAGAAGGGCAAAATCGATATCGTCATTAGTTAAGTCACTTTTTAACCTCTGGGGGTCTGGAGTCTTGTTTATGCCTTCAGTAGATTGTAACTATATTGAATGTATTCATCTCTGCATTATCATTATCTTTAAGGAATATTGTACAGTTATCATTGCATACCTGGAGAGATGTTTTGACACAAAGATAATTGAAGCGTCAACATAGTGACACTTATTTATAGGTAGACAGCCCATCCTCCAACCGATAATGCCAAATACCTCACAACAAGGTCAACCGTTGAATGACAATGTCGTATACCTATTGACGTACATCAATTTAAGCTGTCTTTATCTTTCTATAAATACCCATCTCTAATCAATATCTGCGACTTAAAACCCCATATCTGATTACTACTCTGAGAATTAGAGTGAATCAGACGCATCAGTTTCGTTAATGACATGGAAAGAAATAAAGAGATCCCTTTCCTATCAAAAAGGATTAAATGAATTAGAAAATATCAAAACTGGTCTGTTGGTATTAGAAGTCGATTAACTGTGAATGGGTTTTCAGTTTGACATTTAGTTTCAAACTCCGACATAACAAATCGGCCCTCCAACGAACTAGAAAATGAAATCGCATCTCTGAGGAAGATTTATCAGTCCCGTGTTCATATCTAAAGATGCACATCTGGGGCCCAATGATAGTCGAGCTACGGGAGGATACTTCATACGGGTTTGCCATTTGATAAGTAGATTGCGCACATCTGGTGCTTGGTGTTTTATTGGTTATCTGAGTAGTTTATGTCTCAAACAAAAAGAGTGCAATTTCATAATGCTACTCTAAAATGTCACGTGTATAATAATTATTGTTATACGAAGACTTTAATGTCTTGCCTTAGGAAATTCAGAAGACAAACGTAAATTAATTTTGTCATAGAGAGAACGTATTTTCCCAGGTATGTGATGATTGCCCAAGGGATTGGATCTCCATTGTGGGTTATTTGAAGGACACACTGCTACCATATCACAATTATTTTCCTAGACTGTACGCAAGCCTTACATTAAATTGAACTCTTCGCAATTCGATCCTCATCAGGTTCTCAGTATTTCTCATTTTGAGCAAACTAGGAAAATAACACATATTACGATGTGTATTTCGTTTCAGCATACCCAGTTCAAAGTGAATCGAAATTAATATAGACATCCACAATTGAATGCCAACAAGGCTCGGGTATACCCTTCCTAGATAGATATTAAATTAACTATGGCGGTATTAATTAGATATTATGGCTGAAACATATTGAGGGCATTTGTCTATTGGCTTGTTGAAATTAGCATCGGTGATTTGCTCTTTTTTCCTTCGCTTTGGTTTCAGGAAAATCAGAATCAGAATGAATACTATACATTTTCCAATATCGTTTGTCACATAGCTCGTCAGATGCACACTGTACCTGTTTTTCTTATTTCCAAAAGTGTATTTTTCCTTTCAGGTTTGTACATAGAAGCTTCTAGTGAGATAGTAATATATGGTTTGAATGCCGCCAACTCCAGCAACGATCCCTTTCTTGCCCTCCCAAACGATTTCATTGGCTCGGACTACTATGCAGTGACCCCCGAGTATACAATGGTGGACAGCTTTTCACAAATAGGAATAATTAGCACAAATGTAGGCACCACGAACATAACCATCACACTCCCTAATGCACACCCCCTCGAGGTGGAATTCAAAGGGAAATCCTACAAACAAGGGGACAGAATACAAGCACAGCTCAATCAATTTCAGACTCTTCAGTTAACTAGTGACTCTGATTTAACAGGTTGTCGAATTGTCTCTTCAACACCTGTATCGCTAATAGCAGGATGTGTTAGCCATATAGATAAATATAGCAACGGAACAATCTATACTCAGCATATTGTTGAACAACTGTACCCGGTATCGGTATGGGGAAAACACTTTGCTGCTATACCATTTTCCAATACTGCTGATTTATTTCGAATTGTATGTAAGTATATACATGTTATACACGTAACCACGAGGTCTTCGAATTCGAGACGTGTGGGGTCCCCGGGATGGGGTCCTTGCGTTCATTCACTTACATGGCCCCTAATTGCTGATGAAACTGTCATTGATATGAGGATGAAAAAGAATAAGGACTCTAATAAAATAAATCAGCGAATGAATTCAACACAAGCTATGCCCATATAAGGAAATCCCTAGTCTTGCCCTTTGTATCCTTCCCCACTATTATGTAAACCGGAAACATATACTGTAATGGTTGCCTTTAGACAAATGAAAATCGAGATATGCCATAAATTAGTTGATATAGATACGAAACATGCAACCGATGGTAAAAATGGAATTAGGAGAACCACACAAAGCCTACAAACTTTAAATCATGAATCAATTTTCGTTAACAACCGTTTTAATATTAAATGCTTTAGTTCTTTGATTTCAATTTTATGATACTTTTGTTCAATGCCTAATCCGATTTGTAGAGGAACTAACACGGCTAATCGCTAACTAATGTCTTCTTTGCATAATAAGACTTTAATGTGTCATTCTGAGATATGAAAAACTGAAATTGTTGATGTGAAAATTATTGTATAACCCATTAGCCAATGTCATAATCGATCGCGTAGAATGTGCGAAGTATATTGTCCCTATTATATAACTATCATATCCTGTAGCAAATTTAAAGCGATCATTAATTTTGGTAAATGATAGAGAACATGCTACTAAAATACCAAATTGTGGGTGTACCATTATCTGCTCTGTTTAAATGGCCTTTTAATGTTAATACGCTGACCTAAGCAGTTTTATTTAAAAACTACTCGTGTACAGAGCTTGTATCTAAACAGATATATCCAATGGGACAATATAGAAATATAAAATAAACTCCATGTATTTCCATTAATACCCAATTGGCATTTAAAAGCTACCATTATTTTCAATTATCCCATTATTGACACAATTGCACTTATTACACTAATAGAACTAGCTTAATTCGGAATTCCACTTGACCTATTAAAAGGAATTTTACGGCTATTTTATACATCATATCAATTATATGCTTCCTTCTAAACTAGCTCTAACTTACAACGTATGTAGCTGTTATCAATCTTAGAAATAAGAACAAAAGGAACACTATTACAACGGAACGTAACAATATCAGTCTTTAGCAATTCATGGGTAATAAAACTCTGATTATATGGCCAAAGATCTCTGCTTCATTGTAAAATGTGAAAATATATCTAAAGCTACCCACGCCAACATGACATTAATAGCAAAGGGCCCATCCTGCAATTGCCGTTAAGGTATAGGATCCTAGTTCACGCTCAAGGTACTTAAGAAAAAAAATTGCATATCACTGCAGGTCTACTAAAATAGCACAAATTGAAACTATGAGTTGCCATCTTTGAGAAATCGTGGCATTCTATGAGCTTCTTTCTGGAAGCATATTTTTGGTTGAATACAGAAATATGTGTTGAGTTAGAGTATCAGAAAGTTGAGTTGAAGTTATCTTCACGCGAGTCTCATTGAACTAGACCTTATTGCGAGTCAAAGTGTTAGAAAAGGTGTGTTAAAATGAACCGTAATTTGACAATACCACAATCAATATAAGGATAATTGCTGCATTACTTGAGACTAATGTTCGTGTATACGAATACTATTTTATATTATATTCCAAATTCCAATCACCCGCGATTGACAAATTATAGAGCAAGTGTGTAATTCACACAGTTTGAGAGCATATTAATGAGTTGAAATGACATTGCGTGCGTATATTGTAAGGCACATCCCTTATTATTTGCAATAGCAGTGTTTACCTAATATAGGATTATGCTATTTTGGCAATCCCCGGCTCAATTTTTCATTTTGCTACGTATGTAGCACTTTTATCTTATGTGGGTTATATAGGGTTATACGTGGATTATACAGGCAATAGCAGGGCCGATTTCTATAAGTAAAATACAAATGACATGATATAACTGTCAATATTCAGACGTTATATAAAAGATTTTACAATGTGAACAAGGGAAAATTCATTATCAACTTTATCGTTGTTATATAAAAATCTCAATGTCAATGTCAATCTCAATGTTTTCATAACTAAATATCGATGAAGTAAACTTTAAAACAGGCACTTAATAAATTAATATCGATTTGTATATTATATGTAATTTAGACTCATCAATGTCAATAAAATGGCAAACTGTCCTCCTACAAATGACTAGTTTCCTCCAACTACAAACATGTAAACAATACCTATGTTTATTCTATTGTGCTAACTAGTACTCATTTCAATGCACTTAAAATGATAATAAAATAACAAAAGGGCCTTGTTGGAACGGGACTAGTTGAAGGTGAAACGAGGGAGGATCAACAAATAACTTATATTAATATAAACAATTTCAATAACATTTATTTATTCAAAGCTTGGGATTTGATCGTGCTGTTTGTCAATGATAATTATTTTTATGTCTATTCCCTAATGCATATATCGGTATTTATAACACTACTTTTAACACATGATCAGTATATTTATAAGCGTTTTGGTGTCCAAGTACATGTATTTATCCCGATGTAACGTTTTGTAAATACTTAAAAAAATGAATAACGAATAAACATTATTGATCGTGTTGATTTGTTTGCTTCCAGCAAAACAATCGTCTACAACTGTAAAAATGGCACTAAAGAGTAGGAATACATTGAAGATATTAGGGGAGTCACAGTTCACCGAGCTCAATATATCGTGCAGTGGAGACATTTACATAGTTATAGAATCGTCACATCCTATAATGGTTATCCAGTATTCCAATATAGGGGACGCCACACAATGTTATATGGTGTCAGTGCCACCTATCGAACGTTCTGTGAACTACTATTCATTCAGTGCCCGGATGATGGGACACAATGTACTTATGCCAAGTACAGTGAATATCATAATTGACTCTAGTTACACTGAGGGTATACGTGTAGATGGTTCTGGTATACCCCGTAATTCCTGGGTTATGATGAACAACTCGGGGTCAGGACCAACATACAGTGCAGTACAAGTAAACATTAACCGAACTGGCTTGCATGATTTGAAACATTCAGCTTCAGACGTCGACTTTATGGCCATATCAAACGGCCTCCCCCTGGGCATTCTGGGGGAGACGGTGTGCGATTCCACATGTCAAAAAGGTGGAAGCGCCACCGCAGCACCAGCAAGCGAGGGATTACACCCAGGTGTACTAGCCATCATTATATCACTCTGTTGCGCAGTGTTTCTAGTCGTAGCTTGCATACTGGCTTTTGTCATCGTAGAGGTGACTTGTAGGAGAGATGGAAATTCAAAGGTCATGCCGTTCATAGGATGACTAACCGACATGGTGGCATGCACCAGGTCACTAAGGATAGGTACTTACTATGGACAGGACGAACAAATTATGACGAGTCGGGTGTAAATTCATGAATATATAAGAACTAGTTGGTTGTGATAACATGAATAAATCACTCCAAATTATTAGTTGGTTGTGATAATATAAACAAAAGATTATGACAAGTTGATTGCGATTATGTGAGCAAATTATGACTATGCTGGCTCTGATTACAAGAACACATCATGCATAGTTGGTATGGCTACGCTGACAAATTATGACTAGTTGGTATGGCTACGCTGACAAATTATGACTAGTTGGTATAGCTACGCTGACAAATTATGACTAGTTGGTATAGCTACACTGACAAATTATGACTAGTTGGTATAGCTACACTGACAAATTATGACTAGTTGGTATAGCTACACTGATGAATTATGAATCGTTGTGATAACATGAACAAATCATAATTGCAATGTAGTTGGTTGTGGAAATACAAACAAATTATGACTAGTTGGTTTGGATTACATAAGCAAATTATGACAAGTTGGTAGTGATTATATGAGCATATAGGTTGTGATTGCAAGAACAATTAAATCATACCTAGTTGGTTGGTTATAGCGATACGAAGAAATTATAACTAGTTGGTCAAATCATGACTAGTTGGGTGTTATCACACAAATCAACAACTAAATCAATCATGACAGGATTATAAGGGTATAACTGAAAAGGTCCGTCAGCCCTGTAAAGCAACTATGATACATAGATGACTGCAGACAAAACGAGGAAACAGTTAAAAAGACTAGTGCTAAATTGAACTTAAGCTAGAACGATAAAGGATAAAAACACCTAAAATCAGTTGCTGACTGTAAGGACAAATGTAACTGAAGCGCAATGCTAGTGATTATGGACGGGGCGAGCTAGTCATTATGAGAAAGTTATGATTAATTTAAAATTCTCAGAGAAAGCTATGGGCCTATTGACCCAAAGATCATGATTATATCACGACAAAGCTATGCTAATTCAATGGTTATTACGTGCAGAACGAGCCCATCACGGCAAACATGGCTAATTTTGTAACGTTTTATGGAACGACCAACCAAACTAGTTTTGTGACGTTGTACACAATCAAAATAAGCAGGTACTCTGAAAATGGTCAGATGGTTTCAAATGACAAAAATCTGTGTAAAATGAGGATTGTTGCTTGCTTATAACTAGCAATTCTTGTTCTTATTTGCTCTAAATTGCTTATTTCAAGCTATTATCATCAATGATGAAATTACAGTGCAACAGCTGTTTAATAGTGTTTATACGGAACAGTAATTTGATTATCACAGCAACCTATATTCTTATTCAGCCCATCTCGGCAAAGCTATGATAACGTTGTCACTTACCACCAAAGCTAATTATGTGACTTCAAAACTAGCAAGTTACATGGTTATCATGGCAAAAGTACAGGTAACACTATGTAAAATGAGGAATGTAGCTTGTGGGCATGCACAACGGAATATTAATTTGCTGTAACTGACCTGATATACATTTCCGTTTATATCATTCCGTATTAGTCCTTTTGTTTAAATTATACGGAACAAAATATACCATTTTATGAAAAATATCTCCTGATATAAGCAAGATAATATCATCAATGACAAACTACAATGCGACGACAGCTTATACGGAACACTAACGACAAAACTAACTATGTAATTGAGCGACAATAAACAAAACAATTAACGCTACAAATTGTGGTTAGGTCGACGTTTTACGAAGGATATTATGTGTGATGTTTCATATATAACGTAACATAATTATGATAGGACTATTTGAATTGATTAACAAGAACATTCCGCACACGTTATAATGTATTTGATATAGGGACGTCATTATAACGGTTTATATTACTTGGAAACAATAGTAATATCTTTGTGTATGTAACCCACAGGTGTTCTTAGCGCATGTTTAATTATATTTCACTATCTGCTTCCTCCAACACAAACAGGGGCGATTCAAATCTTTTATTAACGTTTCTATGAGCGGAGTCTAACGCTTAACACACGTCATTGGTTATCTTTACAACTTGGAAAAACTCATGCTCTAAATCAATGACTTTTCCTTGATACTAGTCGGTTGACTTCTTCAACTGCATCAGCATCGTTTACAAATACAAATGTTAGATCACAATAACTAGTACTATATAAAACTAGAACAATTGGGAAATATGTAACGATCGCCAATTGTTGACTCTAGGTGAAGTAAGACTAATTCACAAATAGCTAGGCAAGGTGTGTCGAATTTCACCCAATCAGAACAGAGTATTTCATATGATTACATTGCATTATACTACTCTAATGCACTCTCAGTAGTATTTTTAGATTCGTGTGAAATTGATGAAACTGAGATGAGACGGGTGCTTATGCAAATGTTAAGTGTAAGTGAACAAGTGTCAATTGATGAAATTGTTGTCAGTGTTGACCCAGTTTGACCCTTGTAGACGTTCCATTGCAAAACTCATTCTTTTAAGTGATACTGTGTAAAATCGTTTGCAGTGTGTGAACATAATTTACGCCCAGTACTAAATGCATTGTAGATGATTCATTCCACTCATGCCTTGTTTTCTAGACTTTGGATTCATGACCCGCATTCATACAAAGGTCTGGAAACAACACCTTCGTGGAATGAATCAGCTCACAATGCAGTTCAGGGCTTAAATCCTTTAGTGCATGTATAAACCGTAAAACCGCATTACAATAAAGTAACATGACTTTCATTGTTTTACGATCACTTAGTGCTATAAACTTAATGATTTTGAGGTATAAATACCAGGTGGATTAATTGATTAATGTATATATCATGTTTCTATCTCTGTAATGACTTGTTGACTAATACATATAATGTCAAACTGGTAACAGTTATTGATGGCCGTTTAATCTAACATAAAGGTTGCTGAAATGCTTATGATCTAAGCACATACAAGGTGGGCCAAAAATGTTACTGTTTATATGGATGGATGAAACGCGTCATTCACTGATGGATATAATGAAATTGGTGGTAGCAACCTGAAAATACAGACTACATTTAAAACACTTAAATGATAAAAAACTTGTATCGATTTTACAGTCATCTCGAAAAGTTTGAGATTTTTTATTACACTTTAGAATTAGTTATATTTTTGCCCACCCTGTATATAGTAAGAGTGATATGAAAATATTTATGTAAAAATGTAAAATGCATATGTACACACCTATTTTTGTAACATATAACATTAATATCATTTAGAATGATATAGTTAAATTTATTTTACACTGTACTGAAATAATATATCTTGAAACTTGCATCAGAACTACATTACCGTTGACCGCGGCCGCCTAGGGTTGCCCAAAGATACATGTCATATAAAATACGGAAATAAGTCACTGTTACCACCCGATTACTCCCATTATTTGAACAAAATGCCTGAAACACTGATTGATTACCCATTGCATTTTATATATCAACATCATGACTTTCCAATGGTAATACTTTCCATGTTGTTAGCGCTCTTTTAAACTTCTTAATAATGGGCTTTTAAGGGTTTTCCCACTCAAGTACTGAGCTAGAATAGGCAAATGAAAAATGTGCTGTTTCTTTATGATGTCATCGTTAAGCATTTGTAAATCGTTGTGGGACGAATGTGCACTTAAAAGCATCATTAAGGTCCATTTCGGGTGTTGAGTGGCCATTGGTCATTTCATATTCTTATACATTATCCAAAGAGGTTTCACTTCCAAGGCTTAACTTTTTAGTTTTGATATAAATAATTATTTTACTTTTTGAAGCCCGTGTCTTAATCTCACGATTCTATTGCAAAGGTGGATATAATAAGCGTATTTTGTTTTGTAAAATACAAAGTAATGATTTATTTGAGGCGGTTAAAATATTGATACCAAGAATGATGTTTTATATATGCGATATCATTATTGGCCAATTGAAATCTTTAGATGAACAATGAGCACTTGGGCAATTCGAGGGGCATACGGACTTTTTCACCTTTTCACCAGCAAAAGAGGCTGTTCTTACCTGATATTAACAGGTTAAACTGAAAAGGGATTCCCCATAGCTACTAATTACATGCTTCTAAAATGCATCGATATGTGGTTTTGTAAACTTTACCTGTCCTTTACCCAAGATGCAGTGAGATATTGGAGCAGTCATCCCAAGTAACACGTGACATATCATGTGACATGCTTCATATAAAATCAATCATCGTGATAAATATTGCAAGGAAATTCAATTGTGTAAAATAAACTGTATGCGTCGAATGATGTTATGAAACACGGTGCTTGCTATTGTACATTATTGTAAATATATACACAGTGAATATATAGGTTATTTTATTTTATATGTACATAGTGTACTTTATATATATATTGGTTGAAACATATGTCTTGCCTTTACACCTAAATGAAAAACTTACAAAAATGTATCGGTATTTTGTTTTAATGAAGTGTATTAATGTATATAATATATAATTGTACCAAATTGATTACGGTTATCAATAAACGTATATGATTAAGAATTTTGACTGTTTGAAACATTCGTCAGCAACTCTACTAAAATTTCTAATAGATACATGCGGATATTATTGGTATATATTTTGATATGCTGTCCAACGAAATCTCCCGGTTGCTAAACTATCTTTTAGATGTATCATATTTTTGATGGTTATGACAGATTGATGTAGACGTCCCATAGGCGTAGCCTGGGGGGGGGGGTGCTTTAAAATGCTTTAAATTTGAAGCTCATACTGTAGCTCAATTTTGACAGAAGTTACATTAATTTCTGCAAAACAAATCTTAAAAACATATTTTGGGCTCGTTAATGGAACAATCTGCAATATAAGCTAGCATTAGATGGGAGGCTTAGTACTTGTAAAATGTTGAAATCTTATTTTCTTTACGCTGTGCCTTCAGAAAAACTAATATTGACAAATGTTTAAACTTCAAAGTATAAGATTGTCTCATGATTAGTCTTTGTATGTAACAACGTCAAAATAGAATTATTAACTTCTCGCGTATCATAGTCACTTTCAAGTGACACCTCATAATTAACTAATATCACCAATACAAAGAAAAAGTATTCTTAACGTAAGCCGATGATAGTAAATATATTTCGAAATGAAAACAAAAAATAGAAATTTTGTTTAAAATTATCGACATATGTGACACAAGCACGAGCTATTGCTTAAAATAATATATGTGTTTGCCTTTCAACCATATTCTGAGAACTGACACTTGAAGGCTATGTTTCGAGGCCCAGGAGTTGTTTAACAATGCCCTGGCTACGAGTTATTAATACATGTAAGTAGTGTCAACATGAAAAAGATGAAAAAATGGACATATGGTTGACATTACGTAATAAGAAATAACAATTTGTAACGTATTCCTTAGACTCAGGTTATGCTGTTCAAAGAATAAGCTAGACAGTTTGGGTTTTGACGCCTAGTTCGAACACCACTCGTATTTATCGTCAGAACGGTATGTTTATCTTTTTTCAGCTGCAGAGGCGGGATGTTTGATAGAATTGAAGTAAACAGGAGACATGAAATGTGGTTTAGAACAACCAATGTACTCATATATTCGAATGCAGAAAATATTTTGCTAAAAAAATTCTTTCATGAAACGCTCATTTTCAGAATTCTGAAAAATTATTAATTAATGCTTTATCCAATGACATTGAGTACACATGGCATATATGACGAGCACGTTGTGAAAATACTTCCCCTGGCCCAGAGTCCAGTTAAACGAAGTTCGTCCCTATTATGGAGAAATAATGCTCTATGACACAGACTAGAGGGAGATATCAAAGTCCAATGGTCTCTGTCGCATGATGTTGGAGCGTGAACAATAAACCTGATAAACCCGATACGGTCTCCCATCCGGCTAATTAGGAGAGCTTCCTCAATCAACTTACAAGAGTAAATCAAACATATTCATAGCTTATAATTAGCTTATAATTTGTCAATCAACTGGTTTAATATCTGGAGCAAATCAAACAAATCATTGGATACGGCACTGAAAAATTAAAAAAGCACAATACTGCAAAGCATACCGTTTACTACTGTAAAACATACCTTGTCGGGCAACCTTCTAAACTAGAACAATTTTTACCCAACACAGGAAAAATTACAATCAAATACACTATGCAAAAGATACCTTGTCGATCAACTTACTAAACAAGAATAATTTAAACCCAACACTGAAAGGGTCTCAATCAAGTACGCTCGTGCAAAATATACCTTGTCGATCAACTTACTAAACAAGAACAATTTAAACCCAACACTGAAAGAGTCTCAATCAAGTACGCTCGTGCAAAAGATACCTTGTCGATCAACTTACTAAACAAGAACAATTTAAACCCAACACTTAATGAGTCTCAATCAAGTACGCTCGTGCAAAAGATACCTTGTCGATCAACTTACTAATTAAAACGAGAACAATTTTAACCCAGCACTGAAAAAGTCACAACCAGTTTAACTATAATTTGTAAAACATGTCTAGTCGATCAGTTAACTCAAAATATTAAATTATTTGGAAACAACAATGTTCACTAAAAATTTGTAGGTCAATCAAATATGAAATCCTTTCATTTATATGCATATGGAGATTTCCTTCCTCGACAGTCACTACATCTCAATCAATTCACTACCGTTCAAGGCATTTGTATTTCCTATACGCTGGTTACATCACTTTCTGAGAATAAATCTAAAGAATACCTGGAAACATAAAAATAAAGTAAAACATGTATCGATGACAATCTGAAGAATTGATTCTGACTTATGAGTGTTATTGCAATGACAGTAATTCAATGTGTGTCAGTTTAACTTGAAGGAACTCAATTACTCCAAGCACCCAGATTTATCATACCTGTGGTACTTTCCTTAGTATAAATATGCAAATATGTGCACTATAAAGTATAAACATCTAATATGCAGGGGTTAAATCATTATGGTAAGCACACATAACTGAAAGTCAAAAACGGATGACTGACCAGGTAGATTCTGGGTTCGTAGGCCACCAAAAATAGATAACATCCTGCTATGGTGAAGTGATGAATTTTGTTTTCGTGGTTACAACGCCCACCCACCGTTCGCATTTCGTCATACACCTTGACACCGTGATACACTATGGGCCAGCCCCTAAGATGGGCCCAGAAAACATTGGACCCAAAAAATATTTTAATGGCCCTAATAAGTAGGCCTTTTGGAGCATTACTGGGCCTTATTTTGTATCTTTAGACCATTTTTAAGACAATTGGACTTAAAGTTACAAAATTAAGGCCAACTTTTTGGTTTTAGGGGCCCAAGGTTTCTTTCAGACTTAAAGTTTGGCCCATTCTTAGTTTCCAGATCGCCCCCGATTCGTATGTAGATCATGACAGCTATGCTACTGCATAAGGCCCCCTCACATATGAACGGAAATCCCCCGGCGTCAACTTGCTTGCACTGGCGAATGGAGTGTGAGTAAAATTCGTTTCCAATAATGTATGTATGTTGTGCATCGTTAGAGTGTACATATGCGAGAGTACCATTTCGGAAAGCTTCGGACGGTTTCGGAAGCATGCGCAGAGTAGCGTTTCCGTTCAATTAAATCATATATATATAAACATTAACACCAAAATGATACTCAACCAACTGAATTAGAATGCTTAACATTACTTTTGCACTATATGAGGATCCCCGGGTGAGCACACTCGGCACTAATACATGTATTTGGGCTAAAGGCTCGCATTTGTTTGTTTGTTTCAATGTTACATGTTAGTACAGATGGTTTCATGGACGTACACATGCCGTATCGCAATCAGCCCTTTTCAAAATTTACTGAGCAGCGGTTCTGTATGTCTTCAATGCTTCAGAATTAAAATTTAACCAAAATGAATCAATCGGAATTTGATCATTTTTACACAAGATGGCGGTCATTTTGGATTCAACGGCCATATTAGAAATTTCTTCTTAAACATACTGTGGGATTTTCGGTGATCAGCTAAAATAATGTAAAGCAAATCTGTCAATAGATTTTGGCGTAATCACCGGACTGACAATTGCTTCTTTGTATCTATAATGTATCCCTATACTTTGATCTATAGTTATCATTATCCCTACGTTGAACGTTAGATGGGATGACAATGTAAATATGTCCCTGGCTCAGACAGGTTTAATCAAATTCTGGCTTAATTACTTGACAAAGAATATAAGCTACCTGTGTGTACTGAGCTTGGATTGATTGCTGATGGGGAGATTTGGTACATGGCAACATATCACAATGTACATAAACATCTTATCTAGGGCTGCATATATAACTTTATTTTTCATATCATATATCAAAGTGTCCATTATTAATCTAATTGAGTAATATATTTGCCATATGTTTATCCAGACTACTAAAATTAACTTTTGTTAATTTTATTGATTAACATGATCAATGGGAAGCTTTGATTGGATTTATTTCAGGATTTAAAGGGACATTCCTTACATTGCAGCCTTCTGGAATTTAGCACTTTATTTTTAAGTGATCAATATTGTATTAACCATATTAAAACATTTTCCGTTTTGCTAAACATTAAAGTCTATATATGATTATAGCTACCATATTTAATAGGCAAGGAATATATTTTTAAGTATTTTACGATCATGACCGTTTGCAGCAGTATACAGAGCTCAAATCTTAACTGGATGTTTTTATGAATATTATTGGTCTTTCCTCTCATTGTAATATATATATTTTTCTAAATATCCAAATCCTAGGAAAATGGTCGAGTACTTCTCCCAAGAGTATTCACCTTTCAGTGTTTTTGAAGTGTGCCCACTATTCCGAAGTGGTATGATATGCTACCACCCACTTGTACAGGATAATTATCGTATGAGTTAAGTTCCGTTCAGGTAACATCTTCTACAGTATGTACATGTAAGAAAATTGCAGTAAAAAGTTGTCATTTTAATCAATAAATCAACTAGATAAACAGCAGTTATTTTCCTCCCACGCTCTACTCTAAACAAAATCAACACTTAATTGGCTTTGAAATGCTATACCGCGTCTCTTATCCAAAACCAATTTCCCCAAGTATTAGAATTCAGGAAGAAAGTTCTACTGAATTAGGCCTTGAAAGGTCCGGAGGATTGATCCGAATGTAAGAAATGTATTTTCCATACGCCACATTGCACAATACAGTAGGTCAAGCACCTATGAACACTTCAATAACAAAACTGAAAATATATAGTATCAAAATGACAATTTTAATATCGTTCAAATTGTTGTTTATTTCATGACAGCAATAAATAATAATAACACGTCGCCATGACAACTAGAAGTCCAGTTTAGAGTTTGTTATCCCAGTGCCACACGAGGTTGTATTTGACGGACGTACTATTGCATTGTTCTGTTCCTTATTCGACGTTTCTGACAGCTCTGGGGGAAGATGAAGTTTCTGAAAGAGATGAAGTGACAAAATCCATATAGCAGATATCAGTACGAGTTTACATCGGTACAATAGCATAGGTATTTGGCCGATTTAAAGATGGCAGTAGCTGTAGAACCCTATTCACATTTCAAAGAGGACAAGGAGGGATTGGTTCCCAGTCTTCCAACTCTATATTCTGCCATATGTGGAGATGTTGTGATTACAAAATTTGAATTCAAACAGTTGCCATTTTTTCACTTCACAATTTAGATTGCGTGTGTTGGTCCTTATCCTAAAACGCAAATACTAAGATGTGATCAAGATACTGGTATTAGTTTGAATATTTTGGATTACTAATTATGAATTTATAGTCAGTTATAATGTCAGAAAATAATGACATGTCCAATGTTGTCGTTGATTAAGTTTAATATCGAGTGGGAACCCTGGGAGGCTGCCAATCCTCCTTGCAAAGATGAGCACAAATAAACACAGATTGATTGACCCACCCTCTTTATTTGAAAATTATTTCTATCTCCCTTTAGCCTATGCATGGACTTTGAAAGTCCATGGCCTATGCTACATACCATAAATGTGTCTGTGCCGTCAAGATGTATTGATTGCAGGTTTAATATACTACAGTATACTGATATTAGGGAGTCTATGCAAAAGCTATTGAATCTCAATAAGCTTACTTTTCAGAGCCATTATACTGATAATTTTGGAACCCTAAATCATTAATTTAATTTAAATGAACTCAGCATCTTGCTAAGATTTAAATTATTTATTTATAAAGAAATGGTTTCACTACTTTTTCTCACTTTTCCTCAATATACTCCACTATAAACAAAAAAATCTCTACCTCAATTGTGAACTTTTTCCTCTTCAATTTAAATGCTAGATCCAATGTGTCTGGCATATGACAGTTTAGAGCGTTGAGTCTTGGAAGTGCCTTGATATGGAACAGACCTAAAATATATGACAGTTTCAGGTTCAGTATTAGCTATAAACTGTTGTAGAGGAATCCATTGCAAAATGAATAAACAAAGGAACTAAAATATACACAGTTTCATGTTCAGTATTAGCTATAAACTGTTGTTGAAGAATCCATTGCAAAATGAATAAACAAAGGAACTAAAATATACACAGTTTCATGTTCAGTATTAGCTATAAACTGTTGTTGAAGAATCCATTGCAAAATGAATAAACAAAGGAACTAAAATATACAACAGTTTCATGTTCAGTATTAGCTATAAACTGTTGTTGAAGAATCCATTGCAAAATGAATAAACAAAGTACCTAAAATATATGACAGTTCATGTTCAGTATTAGCTATAAACTGTTGTTGAAGAATCCATTGCAAAATTGAACTAAAATATATGACAGTTTCATGTTCAGTATTAGCTATAAATTGTTGTTGAAGAATCCATTGCAAAATGAATTAACAAAGGAACTAAAATATACGACGGTTTCATGTTCAGTATTAGCTATAAACTGTTGTTGAAGAATCCATTGCAAAATGAATAAACAAAGGAACTAAAATATACGACGGTTTCATGTTCAGCATTAGCTATAAACTGTTGTTGAAGAATCCATTGCAAAATGAATAAACAAAGGAACTTAAATATACGACAGTTTCATGTTCAGTATTAGCTATAAACTGTTGTTGAAGAATCCATTGCAAAATGAATAAACAAAGGAACTAAAATATACGACGGTTTCATGTTCAGCATTAGCTATAAACTGTTGTTGAAGAATCCATTGCAAAATGAATAAACAAAGGAACTAAAATATACGACAGTTTCATGTTCAGTATCAGCTACAAACTGTTGTTAAAGATTATCCATTGCAAATAAAATCTTGTTTATGTGGATAAAAGACATCAAAGTTTATGATTTTTGTAAGTGATAGTCTGATGCTTATACACTGATAACAGAATTGTAATATATCTATAGCTTGAAAAGTTAACTATTACATTGAATAATTTATCTTATGCTAAGATAAATCTTGTTTTTCCTTATTCACCCTATGCAGACAGAGCCTGTGGGAAATATTGGGTGCGGCGCAAATGAGCGGAGGGTGCGGAGCTAACGGTCATTTTTGAATTTAAAATTGGGATATTTCTGAAACTAAGCCGTTTTGGGACTTCAAATATACCAAGATATGTGTATTTGACACCAACTATCAATAAAATTGTGAAAATAGTAGTGCAATTCATTTTATAGCGACGCAGTATGCCTTAAACATTTCCCAGACCTATATATTTTGAGACTATCCTTTTAATACTGCGTCCCCAGCATTCATAAAAAATGGTGTTCAAGATACACTACCCATGCAAATTATTTTTGCATCTTGGAAGCCAGGCAGTATCTGTGTGATTTTATAAAAATTCGGAAAGGTTCTTCAGATATGAGCCCCTCTAAATATTGGGTGCGGAGCTACGTTTATGGAGCTGCTCCGCACCCAATATTTAGAGGGGGCTCATATCTGAAAAAATTTCCGAATTTTTATAAAATCACACAGATACTGCCTGGCTTCCAAGATGCAAAAATAATTTGTATAGATAGTGCACCTTGAACACCATTTTTTATGAATGCAGGATAATTTCAAAATATATAGGTCTGGGAAAGGTTTAAGGCACACTGCGTCGCTATAGAATGAATTGCGCTACTATTTTCACAATTGTATTGATATTTGGTGTCAAATACACATATCTTGGTATATTTGAAGTCCCAAAACGGCTTAGTTTCAGAAATATCCCAAATTTAAATTCAAAAATAACCGTTAGCTCCGCACCCTCCGCTCATTTGCTCCGCACCCAATATTTCCCACAGGCTCTGTCTGCATAGGGTGTTATTTATCCACAATACACAATATCACCTACTCTCTGACACAATAGTGTTTGTAGTATAAACATTACATTTGCAAAAAATGTAACATCAAATACTGGAAGTTTGTGCTTTATGACCATGAAAATATGTTTAATGCTGTAAATTGAAACAAATGTGAATCAAACCCTTCCCCTTTTACATTTTCAAAGGATATTCAATAAAATAAGTAAACAAACAAGAATTTGTCCATTGACATTAATAAAGAAGGGCAAATGAATTAATTTATTTTTACTTTAATTGAAACTTCCAAAAAAATGTTTCACAATTAATTACATGGTGAGGTCGGATTTAATAATGATGATTTTTTTCCTCATTTAAGGATTGTGTGCTGAACCATTCCACGAAGATGGAATTTTTTAGGAAACAACATCTGAGTGGAATGAAGCAGCCACAATGCAGTCTTGGGCTTAAATTCTTTTCACACATTGCAAAATATTTTCTATAAAATCACCTTAAAGATACAAAATCACTAAAAGAACATATTTTCAATGAAACTTTCACACACTGTTCATTATGTGAACACTATGTTCGGAACGGCTGGAATCAGACATACCTTGCCGAGCTATGTGTCAATCTTAAATAATGCATGCCATGCAAAAGAGTTATTAGTATAAACCGCAAAGGACAAATCAAATATTGTACATTTTCCCCTTGGTTTGCTTTCCTTACCATGATATTCCTTGTAGGCTGGGTTTGTTTCCTTATTGGTGCCAGCAAATGACTCTAAATTCACAACTGTGTCACATAACCTCTCAATATGACTGGTGAACACTTCATCCTGAAATGCAAAATTATCAAAATACTAGTATACACTGTCACATTCTACTGCATATAGAGGCCATAGGGGTAATCTCGGACATAGGGCATTGTCAGACGATCTTCAATAATTCTTTGTTTTATATGTTTTTTTTATTGAAATTTTCAAATTAGACACACCATGTTATCGATGTGGGGATATATATTGTAAGAAGTCAAACAATGCCCCAGAACTTCACCTGATGCCAAGGGTTTGTCCGAGAATGCCCTCTAGGGTTCTACACTTAGGTTGAGAACATGATTTCTACCGGCTACAGTGGCTGACAATCAGTCCACTGCTCTAACGTCAATTCATTTGTCAAGTGTAATGCAGAAAGTAAAGTGATCGCTTTTGACAAAGAGGTAACCATGAGCTTCAATGGCTTCATATACTTATTACACTGAGGTGGATCATATCTGCAGAGCCAGAAACAAATTACAGAGCATATGCGAAAATTCTTATACATGGATATTTAACCACACGATCGAATGGGTAATTGTAAGGCCACAGTCGACATACACAAGACATGTTCCAATGGTAATAGACAGAACACATGAAATATCTACAAATAAAGGAGCTGGTTGGATGAAATATAATTTCAAAAAGATGGAAACTAATTTTGTGAAAATACCAGAAAGAGACTTGATAGTCTTGTCGGCGTTTTAACAAGGCATTAACTTGACAAAATGACACCACTTTGTTAATCATTGCAAATGGTTACAAAAGAATAGTTTGTTACAGACATCAAAGGCAAAGGGTGGCTGGCAAAGAATAACTACCAAACTGCAGGCACAAAATGGGTGGTTAAAACATGTTACCACTTCTAGGTGGTGGATAAACATGTTACCACTTCTAGGTAGTGGATAAACATGTTACCACTTCTAGGTAGTGGATAAAACATGTTACCACTTCTAGGTGGTGGATAAAACATGTGACCACTTCTAGGTGGTGAGTAAAACATGTTACCACTTCTAGGTGGTGGATAAAACATGTTACCACTTCTAGGTGGTGGATAAAACATGTAACCACTTCTATGTGGTGGATAAAACATGTTACCACTTCTAGGTGGTGGATAAAACATGTTACCATGGTGGATAAAACATGTTACCACTTCTAGGTGGTGGATAAAACATGTTACCACATCTAGGCGGTGATATGAAACAAGAATGCTACTACATTTTCCTTAAAATTCTTTGATATTTGGAAAGGAATTAACTCCAAAATTAAATTGAATATGTCTATTTGTGCAGAGTTAAAGCAAGATCAATATGTGGAAATGTAATTCTAAAGAAACTGAGGAATATTATTGGGACATTACCTGAAATAGCTGAGTAGGCACAGTAAGCACACAAGTAGCGAATGAAGATCTTACAAGAGACCGCAATGCATATAGGAACTTTAACATTGATTTATCTGCACTTGTCTCAGACCCCAACCTTGTTTCACGCCATTGTGGAGATCCTAAGCTCTGTATACCTAAAAGACAATGGAGTTTACAGTTAAATATATTTACATGATAGTAATAACATTAAAAACTTCCTTGGAATACTGCATGTCAATTACACTTTACTGAGTCCCTGCAATTGCTGTAACTTGAGTGGATCATGAGCTCCTTATACAGATTTAGATTCATGAACTTTATTAAACATGCATACCCATAAAGGGTTAAGTGTACACAAAGTAAACACTAATTTTGAGCTCCTTATACATTATATTCTTGTTTCATTTTTTTGTAAATGAAGTCTTTTCCTCTGTATACTACATGTAATTATGAAAACATGAATTTCTCTGATGGGAACTTATTTACCTATTCTCATAACATGTTTTTCTATTTGAGTTGTGTCAGTTGTGGTGTAGCCTTTGGCCAGTCTTTTTTGGATTGCACGAAGGAGACATCTATATGAGCAGTTGATAAAATGGTCAGAAGGCTCAGGACTGGAATTAAAATGCAGGGTTATATTTAGAATATTACATTTTTTCAAGTTGGGATTTATCCAGTGAAACTGTCATCTAAAATTTGGCTTAGGGTCACATACTATTTTTTTGATTCCAGCCCCTGGTATATTCGCCTCAGGGGCAATTACTGAATACCCTGAGAAATACAATAGAAATACGAGGCATTAACATGCAAAATGTCACCACCTGGCATATGCAACAGATGCAGATCAACACCAACCACGAAACACCAAACGCTGAATACTGCCACAAAAAATTGGAGACTATATCAATATGAAAAATTGATGTTTGAAAATCCTGTATTCAAACATACATATGTATTGAGTCCTGTAATAATCCCATATCAAAATCAGTAAATTTTATGATCAACTTTTTATTCCTCAGGTGAATTAGAATCATTGCAAGAGACATCTTACTTTAATCTGAGCTCCTGTGTTACATCAACAGTGTGACTTTCAACTGAAGTCCTGAGATCTGTTTCCATTGTCTTTGTTAAATCATAATAGTGGCCAAATCTAACATTTGTAGGATTAGACTGAAATAGACAATAAAATACATTGATTTTTATAAACGTTGCATATTGTGTTCACTTCACAAGTTAAAGAAGGGATAACAGGCCATATCCAGCTTTTGCCAAGGGGATTTCCCTTTTCAAAAAAATTCCAGGGGGTTCACATCTGATAATTTTGGCCCAAAATCACTTGAAGTGCTCAGAATAGTGAAAACTGCAGGATTTCAGAAGATATTTTTTGGCAAAGGGAAGGGGGTTTTGCTCAGTCCCTCCGAACTGCTCCACTGCCAGCTACGGGCCTGATTAATATCAGATATTGATGTTACCTGGAATTGTGGCAAATGTTGGTATCTCCATGCTATTTTCATCTTTTCGTCTGTTCCACCCTCTTGTCCACCCTCCATATTGCCACTTGCTCCAGGGTCATCTACAATTGGCGCAGGAAGATCCTGGAAAAAGAATACATACAAATTGTGTCTGATTTACTCTTTATTGTAATAATACCAAATCCGAGAAGTAAAGTTTCAATTGCTCTAATTTCAAGAGTTTCACTTGATTTGAGTTGGAATTGTTACAGATAGTAGAATGACATTATAACACTATACTAGTATTTGTTCTAAATTTTATTATCAACAGGCAAACCTCTCAGTAGCTAGCTCCTTACTACTGAATAATAATATAATACGAAAATGGCAGCCATTTTGAAATGAGCTGCCATATTAAAAATTCCTTCTCAAGGAGAGGTCCTACACCCAAAAGGCATAAGCCTATAAAATTTGAACGGACGGAAAGACGGCTTTCTCAAATCCCTCTCGAACTTCGTTCGTTTGGAATAATTACAATGTAGAACCATCACATACATACCTTTAATATATTATCTGGTGACTCATTTGCAGTAGCCAAAAATAATGTTTGGTTTGTCATGACACCCTCTGCCAGAAAATACTTTAACATAAGATTACTGAAACTTCCATATGTGTCTTCTTCTGAAAATTTGAAAAGTTTTAAATATTTATCACATAGATCTAGCATGACACAAATTTATTGTAGGACTGGAACATGAGAATTGGAAGTAAATAAATTTATTAGCATGCTCTTGAAAGTGGAACACTTAGAACTTTGTAACTATCTTGTTGCATTTTGGTTCAATAAGAATGCTGACCTTAAATGTCAGTTTATATTTCACTCTTTGTAAGTTTGACACTTCAAAATTGATCACTTTGCATATAAGATATGTGTGTTTTTCTACATAACGTCAGACTGTGGTCATTAATGGCAATGCTTGCTTATTACGAGTTAGGTTTGATAGACTTGTATTTTCACTGCCTCTTTAGTCTTTGATCATTTGCTACTGAAGCTTTACTTACCAATTAAAACAACTGTTCCAACAGCAGTTCCCCCACCTGAAAAAGAATAGCAATATTTGATAACTTGTTTTAGATATACGAAGGTTGTCCCGGAAGTAATGCACTATATGCTCTAACTTTATCAATAATTGATATTTTTTCATGAAATTTTCAGTACCCCCATGTTGTTATAGCAACCATATTAAGACTTAATATTAATTTATGATGCTGAAACTTCAGGATATAATAGATAAGACTTCAATTGTTATATACACAAAATTTCAGCTGAATTGAAGAATATTAAAGAAAGTTAGAGTATATAGTGCATTACTTCTGGGACAACCCTCGTACATAGGGTATATGCGGTGATATGGACATCAACTTGTCCAGATCAAGATAATTCACTGTTCCACAACTAGTTACTTTGATGGAACATCAATGTTAAAAAATGGATGAACATCCTGGTTATGAGTTTTTTTGTTTTCTCCATTTAAACCTACTTTTAAGTCAAGTTGCAGATTATAATTTGGCACAAAGCTAGAAAATATAGTCTAGTTTTAATAAGTTTCTTCGATTAAGAATTTGTTTTGTAAATGAAGTTGCAATTCATATATTTAGCCCCTCGCTTTTGTTACATTGACGAAAGTCTGTTATATTACCAATGTTTGTTACTTTGACAACTTACGTCAATGTAACAAAAGGGATGGTCTTTATAAATGCATGAATTACAGATTTACTTACAAATCAAATTCCAAACCAAGAGCATTTCTAAAAGCTTGACCATAATGTCTAATTGAGTGCTGAATAATAATCACTTTGATAAATTTTAAATTTTAATGTATTCCTATTCATATTGTCTAAAATTGCCGCTAATGTTTTTTTTTTATAAAACTTTGGCAATCAATTACATGTCTTCTATTGTTTACTAAAGGAATAAATTTATGTATAAAAAAAATAATAATAATAATCCGCAACATGACTTATACGTATTACGTAAGTTTATACAGTATAGAGAAAACAAAAAAACTCGTAACCAGGAAGTTCATCCATTTTGTTACATTGACATTCCGTCAAAGTAACCAACCAGCTGTGGAACAGTGATAATTGGAGTTCAGATTATTTGAAATTTTTCGGCACATAGATTATGCACTCCTAAGAATTTACTATAAATATCCAAGCACAATAAACAAACCTGGCGGAGATTGCCCCAACTTCATTTTATCAAAATTTGAATTCAAACTCGTGAGAAACACTGTAAGAAGCTCCTTGGGTAATAAGAGTTTGAGGCTGCCCTGCAAACAGATATTTTATTTCTTTACTTGCGGGGAGGCGGAGCAACAAAGACATTTCCTTTTTCATCGATAGACATTCCATCACTTTTCAAAATGGCGGTTGGATTTAGATGGGGAATCCCCGTATTGACTGGTGATGCAGAGCCCGGATGTTTCAATAAATGGAGGAATTTGATGGTTGAAACATGGGCTCTGAGATGGTGGCCTTCCCAGGACTATAGTCCTGGTACGGAATAAGTAGAGCTCTACTGTACAGACCCGTAGCCAGGTTTTGCCAAAATAAGGGTTCACCTTTTGAAAAATCCCAGAGGGGGGGGGGGTCATTTTTGAAAATTTTGGTCAAAAAATGGCCAAAATCACTTACAAATTGCTCAGAATGGTAAAAACTGCATGATTTTGAAAGAGTTTTTGGCCAGGGGGGTTTCGCTCGAACCCCCTGGCTACGGGCCTGCTGTATGTTAGAGAATAGATGCTACCGTTCTTCCAGGTTGGCAAATAAATTCTGGTTGTTGATACAAGTGCCTTTGCAAAAAGCTCGGAATAAAAAATTGGTTAATTATGACACGAACTATCGTAATTGAGGCGGTACCTATCCTAAAAGTTAAATAAAGTTACACGTGGGCGATAATAGAGTAATTGTAACACATGATGCCATTTTACATGGTAAATTCATGGCTTTGAGAGTACTCACCCAAAATATTATCTAGAGATGGTATTCCCGTAGATATTAAAAGCTGATTATTATGAAGAGATGGTCTTGTTCCTGGAATATTGAACAGTTTAGAGCGAGATTTTTTCTGAAAACTTGTTGCTGCCATCTTTACACTGTACAAAATTTGTTTACAAACTTTAACATTAGACTATATTCCCGGGTATGTCAAGCGATTTCGTCAATCCGGATTCGGGGGTTGTTCAAATAATATATATCTTTATATTGTCTCCGTTTGTTCAAATAAACGTCTCTAGAAGATATATGGCTGGAATTATAGAGAACAAAAAGAAGGGCAAAGGTTATCCCTGGCACGGAGTGTTATCCGAGTCGGGATATTGTCTGATGGTGCACGACACTGCATCACTGTGACTGTTTTCATGACCGAAGCACCCGTTTCACCCGCAATAAGTCACCTAAAAACTAAACCTTTCTTGCAATGGGTATATCATTTGTGGATATCCTTTCCCTACAACGCTTCGGCTATATACATATAGGACACTATTAGTCCATGGTGACTCCGGAACTGGCGTAAAACAATATAGTGCAGCAACATTTGAACCAATATTTAAGGAGGTCCATATGTCGTGATTCTTTAAAAATGCCGCCATTTGCTGAAAAAACTTCGGTCTTTTAGGTCGAAATATGCCTCTCATTACAAGGGGTCAAAAAACGTAAACGTTTCTCGAATTTTTACATACGTATTTTCATTTACAATAAATTGGATTATCATTATGTCAAACAATTCTAATTTCAATATAATTTCTAATAGTTAATTAGTGTAATTATAGTGCTTATTTTATTTTGTTTATTTTTTAAAATATCGGTCAAGCAGATTCGACAAAATTGTGTGAATTATTTAAAAAATTCATTATTTGTAGGTCTTAACTTTTTCAAAGTTTAATTTAAAGAATTTATAGCTACCTATCATCGCATCGTCAAACAAGAAATAATTGCCTATGGTATTATTATGGGCTTTCGAAAGCCCATGGTTTTATAAAACATAAAACAATGACAAATTAAATATGTAAAATATATATCTATTTGAATGCCTTACATGTATTAGAACGTTTACTATTCAGAGGACAACGCCTTACATTTCCCTTTCGATGTTACTGCTGCATAGTGTTGAGAACAGTATTTCACAATGCTGACAGCCCAAGATTTATTAGGTACATCCTGAGGTCAGTTCTGTTTATAAACATGCTCCTGATATGACTGGATCTAAATATGAAAATCAGCTTTCCTGTAATCAATTATAGCCAGGTGCATGACGAAGGTCCAACGTTTGTCTGTTCTTGCATTATCCTGACAATGACATCATTTCTATCTTTAGAACTCTATGTAATAAGTAACCAATCAGAGTCAATGATGAGATGCGTTTTGTTAACGTTTCAAATGGTATATAAGTTGTGAATGAATGTAAGATCAGGGTGAAGAAAATGATAGTGGAAAGATGGTGGGAAGATAGCGGAAAAGAATCTGAAAACTTACAATCGTCATGATGTCGGAAAATAAGTCAAGGAGCCGAGGAAAGGAAATGGAGAAAACTAGGTAATCGAGGATGCCGAATTTAACATTGGTCTGACAGACATATAGCATTGTATTCGAGGTAAACGAAAGTGAAATGGTTTAACGTACATATTATTGTTTACACGTTCACAGTTGATTAAAGGTTCCACAATAATAAAGTAATTGTATTATGTAACTTATATTCGTTATTCATATTTGCGAGTACGGTAAGACTAGACGATCTAAATATCTCTCACAGCCAAGCATTTTCATGTCACAGCCAAGCATTTCATATTATACAGCCAAACAATTCAAACATTAAATTAATCATTAATAGGTGGCAAAAACCACGTATGACACTTGGTGCAGCTGCCTTGTTTTCTAGTCTTATCAAGAAAGCAATTTGAATAGAAAATAATAAGTGAACAAAACAAGTCAAAACAAAAGAAATCAAATAAAACCATGGCTCAAGTAGAACAAAATCGAGAAGAAAATCAAATGGAACAGGAGCGACAAAATGGAGAGATTCAACAACCGAAATCGCCAGAACAAGCAGACATTCCCACAGATGACATACATCGACATGTCAAAAGAGTGGAAAACATTGCTGATGGTCGTCTACAATCCGGGAACAAGGGCCAGCTCATAAAACCACCTGTCTTCAACAACGCAAGTTCAGTAAGTAACCCAACATCTTGGATAGATAAATATGATATATGCACAATTTTCTAAGTGGCAAGATTCAGAAAAATGTACATTCCTCAAAATATTTCTTGGTTCTAACGCAGAGGTATGGTATGATGATTTACCAGTTGATATCAGTAGCAATTGGAAATCGTTGAAATCAGCATTTATTGACAAATTTGCCAATCAAACACCTCGTTGGGCTAGAGAGGAAGCTCTTTTAGACCGTTTTCAACAGGTTAATGAAAACGTTGAAGATTACATTAATGACATAAACATGCAATGCTCAAAATTAGAAATTACGCCAAATGAAAAGTTGAGAATTTTTGTCAGGGGATTAAAATCAAATATCAAAAAGTTTGTTGTTGCCAGAAATCCAAACAGTATGCAATTAGCTGAACAGTACGCAATATTAGGAGAATTAGTAGATAATATCAAACCAGATATACAAAAATTATCAAGTGAAAATGCAATGGTTAATGAATCTAAACTGCTTGAAATAATTCAACAACAACAATCAGTGCTGGCATCGCTCTCAACTGAGGTTAGCATTTTAAAACAAAATATCAACAAACCCGAATCAAGAATTGCATACACATCTAACGATGACCAGTTGTCAGGTTTTGCTGTGTATTGCCAATGTAACAGAGGTTGTCATTCTAGTCCTGCTGGTATATATCCAAAAGTTTCAATGTCAACTAATGCAAAAGATGTATTTTACAATGATCAGAGTCACAGTGCTTTAAGTTGTAATTCAACTTCGAAAGTTCAAACTAGGTCGGCAGGAAGAAACAGCTGGCAAGAAGGTCATAATCATTCCTCAAATCATCACAACATTCAGAACCAGGGATCAAAAGGTCACTTTAAATACAGACGAGGTCATGTCTCAAATGGTGTATACAGTAGGTTGGCACTGGCAGGACAGCATAAGAATCAAAACATACAAACACAAAATAAACAAAGAATGAGGAAATCAAACTCAGTCAAGAAGCCGATTCAAATTTCCACATGCGCTCCTATTTTGACCAGCCAAATTTTCAGAGATAATCTCATCAATGTGTCTTTTGCTGGACATGATTTTAGGGCTTTGGTAGACACTGGTGCTCAAATATGTGCAATAAATTACAATGTGTTGAAACGATTTCCTGAACTTGTGACTCAAATGCAAAACTCAAGTGTAAAGAAATGTGTGACCGCAAATGGCGATTCCTTACAAATAATTGGAGAAATATACACAACAATTGATATTGGGGATAGGACAGCTCAAATAAAATTGCAAGTCATAGATAACTTAGATCACGATATCATTATCGGGGTCGACTTTTTGTCAGCTTATGAAGTTACAATTGATTTCAAATCCAAAAAGATACAATGCCCAATACCAGAACAATCAACTCTGTTTGCCGATAGAGATATAGTTATTCCTCCAAAGTCCGAAGTTGCGTGTTTAGTGAAAACCCGAGACAAATTTCCAAATGGTGTCATAGGAGAGTGCAGTAGAATTAATTTGAAATTACCGGTAGTAGTTGCTTCATCAGTGTCTTGTTTACAAAATGACCGCGTCCCAATAAAAATCATGAATATTACAGAAAATGAAAAAATTATTTACAAGTCTACTAAACTGGGCAAATTCACATGTTTGACTAGTGATACGGAACTGGTTAGTCTATCAGCAGGCCAAAACAAGCAGATAAATAATTCTAAACAAGAAAGAGACCACATGTCAAACAGATGTTCTAAGAACACAAGATCATACCAGAAGGGCAAAACGACTCAAAGTGAACCTGTATACCGGACATTAAACAATGACGGTAACAACAGTTCAAGTAACTCAAAATGGCTGAAAAGTAAAATGAATCATACCAAAAATCAAAATACAAAATACTTCACTCATACACAAGGCAAATACACTAACGGTAGTACAAGTAACTCAACATGGCGCTGTGGTCAAATGAACAATATTAATACAACAACAGGTAAACCACAAACCAATAACCCATTTAAATTTAATTTCACAAAGACTGAACTGAATGAGGAAGAAAAATGCCAACTGTTAGAAGTGCTTGATAGACACAAGGGGGCATTCCTTGGTCCAGACGGCAAAGTTGGATTTACAGACATAATAGAGCATACTATTCCTCTCGTGCCAGGAAGTAAACCATATAAACAACGTCCATATCGAGTTTCACCTGATAAAAGACATGAAATTTCAAGACAGGTCAAAGATATGTTAGACCAAGACATCATTGAACCAAGCACAAGCATGTGGGGTGCACCTGTGATATTAGTTAAAAAGCCATCCACAAAACCCAATGAACCACAACAATTTCGATTCTGTGTAGACTGGAGAAAATTAAATGCCCAAACAGTGGAAACATCTTTTCCAATGCCTCTTATCAATGAATACATAGAATCAATTGGCTCCCAAGCACCACAATACTTTACAAGCATTGACCTCGCAAACGCATATCATCAACAAAGTTTAGCAAAGGAAGATAGAGAGAAAACTGCTTTTGTCACGCATGAAGGGTCATTCCAAATGAAGCGTACAGGCATGGGTCTTAGAGGTTCTGCAGCTTCTTTTCAACGCCTCATGACGTCAGTTTTGCAAAACTTGAATTGGACATGCGCATTAGTGTATTTAGATGATATCGTGGTTCATAGTCCAACATTTGACCTACATTTACAACATATTGACGCAGTGTTGTCACGCATACAAGATGCTGGCCTGAAAATCAAAGGTTCAAAATGTCAATGGGCACAAAAAGAGCTCAAATATTTAGGTCATATAATCGATCGTTCAGGTTCTAGTCCAGATCCAGCTAAGGTGGAATGTGTGAAGAATTATCCAACACCCAAGAATGTTAAGCAAATCAGACAATTTCTGGGAGTGTCTGGATTTTATCGCAGGTATATCAAAGGATATTCA